TGATGGTGTCCCGGTCATGTTTTGATGGTGTCCCGGTCCTGTTTTGATGGTGTCCCGGTCATGTTGTGATGGTGTCCCGGTCATGTTGTGATGGTGTCTCGCTCATGTTGTGACGGTGTCCCAGTCATGTTTTGATGGTGTCCCGGTCACCTTGTGATGGTGTCCCGGTTATGTTGTGATGGTGTCCCAATCGTGTTGTGACGGTGTCTCGGTCATGTTTTGATGGTGCCCTGGTCATTTTGTGATGGTGTCCCGGTTATGTGATGATGGTGTCCAAGGAAGAGATGGTCGATGTGTTGAAAACAGCAGCTGTTTCCAGATTGTTCTTTTTGTCCCGGTTTGTATCTTGCTATTGGGGTCTCCAGCTGGGCTAATTTTTTCCTGCTTTTCGCGCGGACCCGCCAGGTGGCCCACACATTTTGTCCCACTGTGGTGGGCGGGGTGTGCCGGAACCCCGTGGGTCGCTTTTCTGGGGCGAGAGAGAAGCGGCATTGGTAATGACCGATTCGGGTGCGGTAAATTTGAGAAAAAAGACATGAAAAAGATCGACTGAAAGCTACTAGGAACAAGTGCGTCGCTAGTAGTAACAAGTGCCTTACTGGTAGTAACAAGAAGCTAGTAACCTCAAGATCTGCAGCCCTTTTATACATATCTGGACTGGTCGTGACTCGAGGCGCGACTCGTCCAACGAACGCCCCCGCAACTCCGGAGAGTTGTTTTTTTGAACTCAATGAAGCAAGGTCAGTGGCTCGGCTTGCTTACCATCGGTGTTTGGCCTTCAAGCCCATCGCTTACAAGATGGTGTCGAACCATGAGTCGGAGATGAAGCTCTTGCAAGAGATGAGTCACCAGATGCAGGAGATGAAGGTGGAGATGAAAGAGATGCGGCAAGAGTTGCACCAGGCAGAGGAAGACCAAAAAGCTTCTCCGGCGCCTTCTCCGTGGATGGACTCTGAAATCCTTGCTCGCATGCAGCACTTGATGGGAAGCAATGAAGAGATGGGCCAACTTGCAGAGGGATGCAAGAAGCTTCCCCAAACTTGGAAAGGAGGCAGCGAAAAGGATCTCCATGCAATCCGTTCCAACCTTCCTTCCAACAGCTCCTTGGTTCAAGGAGGTTCAAACATCTCAAAGCAATTTGCCCATTTCCCCAAGTTCCAGTCTATGACTTCGATTGGAGCGTACGCAAGAGCTGCTGTGCTATCATGGACTCCAGATGCGCGGGCTGCATGTCGACCAATGAGAAGCGTCACTGTACAGCATGCAAACCTGGCTTTTATGGTCCATATTGTCGCTCTTGCATCGATGACACCGAGTGGCGCAGCTTGGAAGGAAGAGATTGCGTGTCATTGCCTTCCAACCAGTGCAACGAGATCAAGGCTGGGTGTGACTTTTTTGCGCGGGTGTTCTCATGTTTTCCAGAATTGCCTTACTTAGCTACTTCCAGAAAACATGGGAATTGATCAAGACATTGATAATCTTTTGTATTGCGTTGTTGGTTGTTTCAACAATCAAAGTGTTTGAGAGCCAGTTTGGAAGTGCAAGGGAATGAGGTAAGAACTTGCAGAACTTGGCCCGAAACATGTGACTACAATGTTTGTCTAGCCATGGTATATTTATCACATGTTTGTGGGGAGGGGGCCCAGGGCTGCGCACTGACTAACTTGGGTTGGAGTGGAGTGGAGTGGAGACATTGCGCATGTGGAGCGGACGCGAAAAGACATGGAGTGTCTTGTCCCGAGGAAGAATCCAACTGAACAAACGGACAGCCCCACATGTGGCTGACCTCCCGACTTACTCTGAATCTTGTTGCGCACGCATTGCTGGCTCTTCAGATTGATGGAACAATGTGCTTGGATAGGTTTCTGACGTTTCTTCCGCTATATTCTGCTAAGTGTTCAGTTGGACGAGCGTTTTTGTCCTGCAACTGCTGGTTGGGTAGGGAATTGTTGGTGTACTTTGCAGCAAACGAGGGCGGGTCTGTGAGGGAGTTGGGTGTACTCCAATTTCACCGGGAAGGTGCCTTGCTGCATCTTACATGTAGGCCTGTTTTTGCTTGAACAGGTGTTCTGTTCCTTTTTCCTGCCTTCTCCTTTTTGTGGAGGTTCGGGGCAAAAGCTCACGAGAAGCCTGCTGCAAATGCAATGGAGGGCATCAGCTTGCCCAACCATTCAAGTACCCTGATCAACTTTATCAGGTCGGAGGCGGCGTTTGGCATCCACCCACCCCGCGAACGGTCACATGGTCGCGAAAATCAGAAGGACTCGCCGTTTCCGTCGATGGATGGTTGGCGTGTGTTCGGCTCCTGAAAGCGACTCAGGCTTTATTCTACACCATCAACCCTGATTGCGAGTTTCCTCTCTACAATCTCACGCTCTTGAGCGATCTGGGATTGATCGTCTACGGCGGAATCAAGCCCACTGAGCCGTTTGAGGTGACATGTGAAGTGACAGCCCATGAGGCGCCCCGCGTGACCTTCACAACGATTGCAAGCATCAAGGTTGGACAGCTCTTTACACGGAGCGAGGCCAGAGGTCTGGTTCGTGAACGCCAGAGGTGTCGTTCTTGGTTTGTGTTAAGTGAAGGGAGTGCATAGATTGAATGGGGCCTATAAAGCATGCGAAAGCGGAGTGTATTGGTGTAATTGGCCGATGTGACTCTGTGTGCGTGTGTGTGCCAGCGTCTATCGTTCAACAAGCATGCTAAAATCAGCTTTGGTCAGTCATTCAGGTGCTCACCTTCCACAGTGATGCGACCAAGCACCATGGTGCTTTACAATCCTCATGTCGTTGATCACACGACCGTGCACCTTCAGTGCAGCCCATACCATCACAGAGGAAACTGGCTTCAACTGACGCGTGAGGGACATCAGGCTGGTCGGAGAGGTGAGTCGAATATGAGTTCGAAGTTCGGGGCAGGAGGGAAGTTAAGAAAAGTCTTCAAGACTGCATAGGTCAGCAGAATTGACTTGTTACCATGCATAGGTATGCAGCGTTTCAATAGAGGTGTTCTTGAACCCAGTTTATGAGCCTTTGGTGAAATTCTTGCACAGAAACGAGTTGGACGTGCGTTCTTCACTGTTTGGTTGTGAGGTTTTCATTCAGCGGGCTCCTGGCAAAATTCTCTATGGAGCAGTTCCGCAGGAGGACTCGTGGTTCAATGGTCAGCAGGGCAATGCTTGCGAACTCAGCGCCAAATCGAAAGACGGCAGCGCCATCAAGACGTTTTTCGTGGCTTTGCATCCATCACCATGGCCTTCGCTGAGGTGCTCAACACCTCCGCGCGACCATTGGCCAAGAGCTTGCAAGCGTGAAGCCTATCCCGCCACAGCGCAAGGGGAACAAGGATCAATGGCTGCACCCCGACACCTTCGGCATGAAGTGCGCCACGCCGGGGGGGCCTAACAGGTTTCTTTCGAAGGCGCCAGTTTGTGTTCTTTTTCCTCGGGCGCACCCCGTGGTTGTTAGGGTTTCGGGGGCCTCAAAACTCGAAGTATCTCAAAGTTCGAGAACATGAAAGACACTGAAGTCTTGAGGAACAAGATTCATGATCAACATCGCATCATCTATGTGGAAACCGTGGATGACCGCACTTAAAGTGAATATGATATGAACATGGTATTATTACGATGGAACCATGGGCTATTGAAACAACTTCGATCTTCCTGGTTTCTGCCCGAGGGTGGATGGGGTGGTGCTCCCAGTGCTCCCAGTGGTCTTCGACCGCAGCCAGTCGGCCGTCCTGATCGACGGGATCCCCGTCCTGCAACTGGATCCGCTGAACGGTGCGATGACGCTGGCGCCGCCTGAGGAGCTGGGTGCCTCCATGGAGAAGATCCAAGTGGTGGTGCCCAACACACCCAAAGTAGCGACGAGCCAAGATTGGTAGAAGGATGTGGTGCCAACATTGGGAGGGTCAGATGTGGATTCATTTGGGGGTCATGGGGTTCGCAAGAACTGACCAAAGACAGCCACACACTGTTGGTCAGACGGTGTAGGGGGGTGAAGTATGAAGCTTTTCCAAAAGCAGGTGGACTATCTTGTAGACTCGTAAACTGTGCCTGTTTCTGCGTGGTGTGTTATCCGATTTGGTGAATAATCGTTTTTCTTTGAGGCTTGTCAGGAGCTTTGATGTGAAACATCGAGGGATGAAGAACACTTTCAACCGCAGGACAATTTGCAGCAGTTCCCATACGACAGAAGAAATATGTGCGCTGCCATGTCTACGCCCTTTATTCTGGCGATCAGCAGCTCCCAGGCTCCCAGTGCTCGCACAGGGGATTGACATGAAGATCTGGGACAACACTTGCTGGCAGAGAAAGCATTTGCCTGTGCACTTGGGCCTCCTCAGCCATAGCAAGGACCACCCTACATGTCGTAATGCATGCCGCACGAAAAAGAACTGCGTGATGGTCTACCTGGAATCAACACAGATGCACTGCGGCCATTTTGATGCCAGGGCGACCACACCGGGAGGTCTTGTCCAAGATCACTCATTGCGAGGAGGCCACCACATGTTTGGAAGTGCCTGGTGGGCCAGGAAAAGGGGAGTATTGTCCCATGGGCGAGTCCAACGGTCAAGTCCTCCTCCTTCTCCGAAGGAAATCCGTCGTCCCTGAGGAGCGCTTCTACATGAGGCGCTGCACGGAGAATTGGTGCCAGAACCATCCGCACTGCAAGAATGGGGCAACTGGGCTGCAGTTTTGGCGAGGTTTGGTCAGATCTATGAGGAAGTGCTACACCCTGAAGAAACATCCCCAAAAATTATAACCTTCTGTTTGCCCGTCGCGGCTGACTACAGGCTCGTACAACGTGTATTTGTACCATGTCTCTGGATGAAGTACGATGAAGTACACGTACAATTTAGCTTTGCTGTTTGCTTATGAGGCATGGCTGGTGCAATTTCCGTCGGCCAAAGACTATGTGCAATTGCAAGAAGGCCTGGTCGAGCTGCGATTTGCGGATGGTGTGATTTCTTTTTTCCCTAAGGTCAATAAGCCCCCTTCTGGGCAAATATGCGGTTTTTACAGGTTCCTTAAGCAAATCCAAGGTTCAGGAGAATTTTTGGTTTCCACAATCCTGCCCAGCACCTTCGCAATTGAAGAATCCGGAGGGTGACAGCCCTTTCGTGGTGGATGATGTGTCCACTCCAGTGTCCGATGACTATTTCTTGCAGCCTTGTCAATGCGTGCCTCCCGAATGGGGCTCCAAACCACCCCTGAGTCCAGAAGCATTTGACAGCATTCCGGCAGGAAGTGGGAATGAATATGTTCCTGCGCCTTATGACATTGTGGTGGGTTCGCAACTCATTTCTATTCACTGGGAAAATGATGTTGAGACGATGACTGCAGGGGATTGTGCAGCCAGATGTCAGGAATCTGCTACTTGCCTATTTTTTTGGCATGGGACACAAGCTTCAGCAAGTACATGCCGCCTCTACAAGCAGTGCAGCTCATTAGTCCATGAAGGGGGCCTTGAGGGCACTCTGAGGGCCATGGAAAGAGAGAAGGCGCTGCCATGTCGCAGACGCTGAGCTATGCTTTAACAGTTGCGCAGAGCCTTCCTCACCAGACGATTTATCCCACCGGGCTTCAGCAACTCATGGCTATTTGAGCAATGTAGCTGTATGGAACAGGGATACCTCCAAACTCATGGGTGACTATTTGGCTGAGAAGATGGACGTTCTGCAGCAGACCCTGGTGCATATCGGGAAAGGTGGCACAGTCCGTTTGCTTCAGGGAGCCTCCCAAGAAATGACCGCGGAGATGGAGGAGCTCGCGCGCATGGCATCAAGCCCCTTTGCCACCCCACGATCCCAAGTCATGGCCCGCGATGCTTTGCAGAGCTTCCTTGAAAGTGCTGAGGAGTTGGACGATTTGGAAGAGTTGAATGCCACTGGAAATGTCTCAGCATCTTTAGCTTCCACATCCGAGTCTTTGAACTCTTCAAAGGCGATTCCTTTCTTGGACCATGTGCAGAACCTTTATTCTGCCTTGCAGAATGCTCCAGGCGCCTGACTGTTGCAGTTCTATTTTTTCAGGTAACCACTTCTTGGGAAATTGCCACATTCGCAGGGTCGTCGAAATCCGCGTTGCGGGTTCCTGCGCTGGACCGGCCCAGCCCGGCCAGGTTCTCATCGAAAGTCTGATCTCGTTCTGAAGCAAATGGCATCCACCATCAGGCACGGTGTGGTCTCCACTGCTGTCGTTTCTCTAAGAAAACTCTATTGAACGACAGTGGATGTTGGATCGGATGACCTGAGTTGTTGTGAGGCTTTTGCAATCCGATGCCCAACAAGAATTTCGCATGTTGGGCGTCTACCATACGCACTTGCACAGCTTTTCGAGATCAACGTCCGTGCAAAGTCAACTGAAGAATTTGGAGCGACATTCGATCCTGGTCTCTCTGGACCAGGTGCATTGGTGTTCTCCGTGCTGTTGTTGTTTGTGTTACGATGAACATTAGACAGTTTCTTAAGACACATTACAATCCCAAACAATCCATGGGACTGGCAATATGTACCTTCGGGATCCTTCGGGGTGGGTTTCACGGCTCCGAGTAGTACGTAATCTTTCCATGGCTGGTCAGGGAATGTAGTATTTGTCGCCAACCCAAAAAAACAAATCAAATTGAGCATCGCAGCGATAGGTACAGAGCTGACCCCAAAAGGTCGCGTCGCTGGCCCTCAGGTCGCGGATCAGCCTCTCTTTGGGATTCCAATTTTCATATCATTTCATTTGGGGGTTGATTCATCGACAGTCTACAGATGTCTACGGATGTCTACAGATCATCGGCAGGTTTCCCAATTCCCAAGTTCCTTCAGTTTGCAAGTCGCGCGAAACTCGCGCAGGTGTGGTGGAGGCTGCGCGAGAAGTTGGATCGGTATATGGAGGTGGCCAAAACGGAGTTGGATACCTTTCAACATGCATTCTTGCAGATGGAGAGTTATGCAAGTTGCTCCGCGCCCTTCTCTGACATGGTGGCTTGAACGACATAAATACGTGTTGTTCACGTTGTTCATGACATGAACGTGTCAAAACAGGGAGGGCCAGCCAGCAGTGCATGTGAATGCAAAAAAGTATAGCAGCAAGATGCAACTTGGCATAGGTATGGCATAGGCCAACAGTGTTCTTCGATTTAAATGGCGTGCTACAATCAGACAGTGTATTCCTCAAGGACGCTGCGGCTTCGGAAGTGCCCTGGTATCTCAAGAGAATCCAATGACAGACCGAGGTCACCGGTTACTTGCTCACCAGGGAAGCCTCCAAGCGAAACCAGCAAGAGCTTCGAAGCGCCTGGCAGGAAGCGTCCAACCTCTTTGGAGAATTGGTGGCGATTGTGGTGGACGGAGAGGCCTTCAGCATATTCCGAGGATTGGAAGGATGCCTGATCAAGGCTCCAAAGGTCTGACGCAGCAGACCCTCCTTCAAGCTCGTGCTGTCCTTCATGGATTGCGCATGCTCTTGCATCGGATGACTGTGGCCCGTATGAGCCTTCCAGATCTGTCCAGCATCAAGGATGCTGCCCACCGATTGAACGAGTCCACACACTTGCGATGCAGGGCTGTGAGGTGAAGGCTTAGAGCATCCAGTGCATCTGAGGCAAATGCTTTTGGATCCCAAGTCACTGGAGGCTGTAGACTTTTGATTCCACCAGTGCTTTGCACTGGTCGATGCCATTAGCTTAGATGAGCACCATATTTGGTGTCCAAAAGCCTGAATGCCCGACGTGTATGGTTCTGTGGGAAGTTCGCATGTTTGTCGACATGATGCTGTTGAAAGTAGAAGGTGCGCCACAATTGCCCACTTCTTTGGCTTTCCAACAGACCTCCGTGCCTGTTGCCTCCAAAAACTCTATCCCTCTCCGAGCTCATGTTGTCTTCAGCCTTCCTGCACACCAAACACCCACACGTTTTCATCCTCCGGTTTTTTTCAGTCCTGCCCTCCAGTCCACCCAGGCTCCAGCCCCATTTGTCAGCCTGAGTCAGTGGTGGGCGGCGCGGGGCCTCGGAAGAGTGGGTCTTTCCCGAATCCCGTTGAGCATCTTAAGATACCCTACACCTGCAGGTACCTCCTCAGAAGGCACTTGCACCCTCCAAACCCACACCAAACACCTCCTCAGAAGGTACTTGGAGGCCTCGGGATAATAAGACTCTGGAGGAGGAGTCTTATCAAGTACGTGTCTTTAGTGGTGTATTTGTGTGGTGAAAAGGTGGGCAAGGGGTTTGAGCCAAGTGTTTTCGGTGTAGGGTAAGCAAGCTTCACTACGAGACTACGTGGAGGCCAGATGGTTATATATACATATTATATATTGTCACTAGTGTTAAATCCACCGTCCCTTGCTGCAATACCGCCATCTTCCCAGGCATCGTGGTGGGCATCGCAGCATGGCCAGTGAATACCCTCAGGCGCGACTCCCCACCCGACCCGGGCCTCAGGACCGACTGTGACCCTTCGTTTTCTCCATTTTGTCGGGTGGCACGCAGTCCACATGGTCCCCATATTTGGGAAAAGCGTACGTAGGGTGTTTGTTGGTGTTTTACATGTTTGTATGCCCCTGTGCTTGGGGTTGGACGGGTCCACTTTGAATCAGGCAGCCAAGGGAATGCTAAGATTGAAGACTTGTACAAAAACGAAAATGTTTCATGTTGGCCAAACCACCGAACGTCGTTTGCTGTTCTTCACTCGCCGTGATAGAACCAAAGCAGAGCACTTGACCGTGCACACAGGATCATCCTACCCAACATCATGGCAGATGTCACCAGTACTTCGAAGATGATCATGAAGGCAGGTGTGGCGAAACCGTGCACCCCGGGAAAACGTGCAGCTCTCGGCTGCAGGGCCACGCACTTGATGTTCCTTTTTCCGTCGGTCTGGTTGTGGCCAGGCCACGCACTTACTTTTTCTCGTCCAGTTGCGGTTGTGTTGCCTTAGGTGCTGATGGCTAGGGTGTTTGCATGCACCAGAGTTCTGATGCCTTTGGCCAGCAGACGGACTTTTGGGTGTCACCTACCTTGACACCTCTTGATACTTATGCCAAGCTTCTCGGCGCCAAGATGGCCTACCTGGACCACCCAAAAGCACCAGCTGTTTGCTTTACGTCCCCGCTGGGCCCCAGGAATCCGTTGAAAGTGGAGAGTACATGGGGAGAATGGGACAGAGGGATCGGTGAGAAGGAGACGACCGATGAGACCAGGAAGGACAACCGATGGGATCGGGTTGAGCCAATTTGTTTCACAAATTCTCTCCGAAAGAGTGTCCCGGCCTTGGCTCAATGCATGTGGTACAGTGAGACTTGATCCCTTGTACGCGTCGAGTGTTGGTTCTTGTTTCTTTGATGGATAGATAAGGATAGCCATTTATGGTTGTTGTTTGCCTCTTTTGGTTGTCGGTTTGGACAAACATATGTCGACATGTGACATATCACTTGTTGCTGTATACCACACCAAAGTCAGCTAGTTGCGCTAAGGAGCCTAGCTGCTGGCTGCCAAACAAAAGAAACACCATTCAGAACACACCTACGGTATCCAATGGTAAACTAGTTCAGCTGTATAAGCCATTCCTCACGGTCGTCCTTGACTTTGGGCAAACCCATTTCAGGTCTACCACTCTACAAGATACCATCCCTATACCCAACTCTGACAAACAGTCTTAGCCCAAGAATGACGGTGTGAATGGAAGATCTTCTTCCTCATTGCACCGGGGAACGCCCCGCAGATCGGCAACTTGCCCCTGCCGGCGGGCGGCTTCTTTCCCTCGGTGGTCACTGCAGAGACGGGGAGCTTAGTGATTGGTCACCGTGGAGCGGAGCGTAACGAGCGGTGGATTTGTCAACAGATTGTTTGATGGTTAATGGTTGAGACCGGGTTGCATTTATATTGATTTATCAATATAAAGAGGCAAAATCATTGTGACAACCTTCTCTCATCATGCCCAGTACCTATATACGATCCAGGGTACCTGGCCTTTGCCTGCATTGCTTGGACAGAAGAACTATATCCTACGGGCTCATGCAGAGTCATGGTCTCTGATTGAGCTTGGAGATGGGAAGCATTGAAAAGAGGAGTTTGGGTATCAAAAACAGGTAGCCATGATATATTTAGGACTTGTCACATACTTAGGACTTTGATCTCATTGTGTCATGCCAGGTTACATCCTTTGATGTACTTGTACCCCCTTTTGGGGTGTGTCAGCCGAGCCGACGTCAGGATCATGAAGGATGGCGGCTTTTCGCCCTTCTATTGGGACATGATCATGGTGCGACCTCTCAGCTGCGACGGGTGACAGACGCAGAGTACCAGACGTTGTGCATTGACACCTGACGTTTGCAAGCAGAATTCTATATCATGTACTGTATATACATATGATACATCTGAGAATTCATAATAATAGTAATACTAATAATAATCATCATCATCATCAGCAGCAGCAGCATCATATGTTTGATATTGTTTGGTGTTGGCACCCTTTGTTGAAGATTATATCAACATATATCAATCAATCGCGACCTTTAGAATCGACTACTTGTTGAGCTCCATGCATGCTCCTCACATCGCTGCATTACTTTGCATGGGTCAATTTGTACTTTCACATATCTTTGTGTGGAATAATGGTTGCTGTTGTTTCTCTAGGTCTATGGATTGTTAGATGAATTTAGTGCTTTCGGGAGTGGTTGGGTGTCCACAGGAGCTGTACTGTACTGGTAGAAAGGTCTCAACCAAACCCAAGCGGTCAACCAAATATGCCGGTTTTATAGGCTGACTCCCTCTCCTACCCCGTCAGTGGAGAACCTGCAAAACCGTCTTGAGGAATTGGGGACACCCCACTGGACAGTTCACTTAACCTGTATTTTTCAAAGAAACTAAGGGAGTCAGCCCTTTTTATGACAATTTTTACTAGTCATACTTATCCACCTTTAGTGAACTGGATGATCTCATTCCCAGGTTTTGCTTTGAGGGAACTTGGTCACTAAGGATATCTAAGGAGACTATGGAAAATAAGACCCCTACAGCAGACAAATGACTCAACCATCTAGCCCACCACATGCCCAAGAGAAGCGAAACGGGGAGGAGTGTTTCACTTAGGAGTTTGCGTTCGCCAAAAACTGCACTCGGTCACCCAGCGCTCCCCGCTGGTCCACGCGCTCGGAGAGCAGGCCCAAGCGGTGTCCAACGTGAATGGAGGGAGTCACGCCACCCAAGCTGTCAGGGGTGGGCCACTGGGCGGGGGGAACTGCGACTCATGCTCTTTCTCGTTCTGAGTGTGGACTGACTAAGAATGGCCAGAAGGGGCCAGTGTAGATTGATGTTCTGCAGCGGAGTATTCTTTTTGGCTCATTGGAGTCCACCTTACAGGCCAGGGGTGAAATGAGTCAGAGTCATTTCAGAGTATGTATTCCTTAAGATCCAAACACATCTTGGATTTTTGCGCCATCGAACAACCGACACCAAGAAAACCGCTGCATTTGCATTTGGATGGACTCAAAGCCATTTGTTGAAAGCTTGGGATGTGCCAGTTGGATGCACAGATAGATTTGCTTCACTTGCACAAAAACGTTCGCAAGTTGTCCACCCATTTCCAGTGTTCGCAGAGTCCAACATGCTATTTGGATGTACTCTTTTGTGTTTCTGTGCTTCAATCTGATGTCTTGTCTTGTCTTGAAAGAAACAAGACTGAGCGGTGAGAACTGGAGCACACAGCTAGCGCAGCATAAATCATGAGCACTCCAGGGTCCAGGAAGGCCTCCCCTTTCATAAGACTGGCAAAGCAGAACCTAAGCCGGAACTTAAGCAGTTAGCCCTGGAGCAAAGCATTTTCAGATGCGTCAAGAGACAGCTGGGCAATTGGAAACAGACATTTACTTTGAGACATACTAAGCAATGAGCTTATCAGTCTTCAAATCTTCACCAGTCAGCCACCTTGGCCCTCGCCCACAACCCACGTCCCAGTTCCAAGCGACGGCTCGCCGCTCGCCCTCCTCAGGTGCTCGGCTCTACAAGAGGCCCTTGATCTTGGCAGCTTCCTTGGTCTCCACCGTTGGGGAACCCACCCGTTGGGCGACACGCGCGGGCGACCGCGAGCACTGCGGAGATGGTGGTGGAAGGAGGTTGAGAAGAATCGACCAACCGAGCGGGCGACGGGAAGATGGGGACAGCCGAGCAACAAAGGGAGGTAGTGAAAACTGAGTTGTGTGATGCTTGCATTGTATATTGTACACTGACATGGAGACCTCCCAGTTTGACCCCTCCAAGAAGGACAATAGACTAGTCTACCTTTGGGGCCAGGGGGTCTCCCTATTCAAATACACACCCATCAAATGATTCCAACCACTCCTCCTCCAAGGACTGCATCTTCCGTCGTTTGAACATGTCTGAACATGTCCGTCACTCCGACCCTTGCCACGTGGGCCAATGGCCTTCACAGACAAGGTGAGTCCTGGCCCCACCAAACCTGCTAGCTTGACCATGTTTGGTATTCTGTTACTCTGTTCTTCCGAATCGGTGATCAACCAGGGTCGGATGACTGACCCAAAAATGTTGTGACTGGGGAAAAGAGAACAAATATATAAACAAATCCCGAGATGTTTGTATGTACAGCCCATATATACTCCGCTAGGGTACTGCAGACACGTGACTCTTGACGTGTTTTGGCTCAAGGTGAAAAGGCGTTCCGAAACGTCGAAACCTCGTTTTCATGGTAGCGCACGAGTCCGGTGAAAGTGACAGGGACAAAGCGCTGCGCATAAAGGAAGAAAGACACAGTAAAGTCGAGAGCTCCGAGGAGGAGGAGCTGGGATCCTCGGGAGCGGCAGCTTCTGCCGCCCCGAGTGGAAAAGAAGAAGAAAGGAAAGGAACAGAGGAGGAGAAAGAGCCTTTGCCAGCCACATCAGCGGCGGATCCAGCCGCAAGCACCACTCCAGCGGTTGAGAAGACCGCAGAAACAACTTCAGCGGTTGAAAGGACCGCAGAAACAAAAGAAGAGGGGCCGGAGATCGGACGAACCGTCCGCAGCTGAAAAGGTGCGAGAGCAGCGCCTTCAGGGGTTGAGATTGGGAAACCATGGCATTGGAACAGCAGATCCAACAGTTGTCTGATATGGCTTTGCAACTCCAGCAAAACCAGGCACGTTTGGAACAAGAGAACCAGGTATTGAGAGAATCCCAAGGTGGGGTATCGATGTTGGCTTCAGCTGTAGGAGAACTGGCTAAGAGCCTTGAGAAAAAGGAAGATAGACGAAAGTCCCAAATACTTATGGACACCAAAGGTTTGGGCCGTCCTGAGAGTTTTGGGAACGTTGAAGGGGAATTCCGAAAGTGGGCCAGGAGCATCGACAACCTGTTCATAACTACCTTTGGGAGAGAGTTCATTGAAATCCTTGAGTACATTTTGGAACAGGAAGACACGATTGAAATGACCAAAATGGAAGAAGAGTTTGGGTCTGGCACCGTAACTGACATCGGTGACCTAGAAGACAAAGCAGACCAAATTCATCGTGTGCTCCTGACTCTCACTTCCGGCGAAACGGAAGATCTCATGGTAGGAGCCTCAAATGGGTTCGAGGCATACCGAAGAGTCCACCGACGATGGGATCCCCGTACTTCGGGAAGAAAGCGAAACATCCTCAGGGCTATCCTCCAGCCAGAGCGTGTCAAAACTTGGACCGCCGTGAGGCCAGCCATCGAACAGCTGGAAGAGCTGATCAGGAGGTACGAAGCCCGGCGAAACGCATCAGGGGCTAGAGAGACACTATCGGACGACATCAAGTCCGCTTCATTGGAGATGCTGGTACCCCCAGATTTGGAGAAACATCTTTTGTTGAACAAGAGTAGATTGACAACCTATTCATTGATCAAACAGGAGATTGAACTTGTCATTGAATCATCTCTCACATCAAAGTCATCTGTTCCAAAACCAGGTTCATCGAGTTCTAGTTATCAAGGACCTCAACCCATGGACGTCGATTCGATCGGACAATGGATTGCAAGCCTAGTCAAAGGAAAAGGTAAAGGAAAAGGTAAACAGGTCAAAGGTGATGGAAAGAAAGGCTCAAGTAAAGGAGATTCAAGTAAAGGCTCAAATACGGCTCAAGATATCACCTGCTACAATTGCGGTAAGAAGGGACACAGAGCGGCCGATTGCTGGAGCAAGAAACGGCCGGATGGAAAAGGCGATAAATGGTCAGGTTCAGGCAAAGGAGACAGGAGTGGAAAAGGTGGCAAAGGCAGTAAAGGCAAAGGTGGAAAAGGCGGCAAAGGTAAAGCCGCAGGAAGTATGGAAGAGATGGACGAACCGGACGATGGCATTGAGCCAGCTCCGGAAGCAGATGTCGGAATGCTCATGGCAGACTTGAGTGGAATTGGAATAGCGGATACTTCATCCGCCGAGGAATGGATGAGGTTTAACCTGGACACTGGAGCAGCCCAGACAGCCATCCCGAATGGCTGGGAGGACCGAGTGGTTGTCAGTGAAGGCAACGGAGTTGTTTTCAAGACTGCATCAGGAGAGTTGGTGCCCAGTCAGGGCATTGGAACCTTTGAAGGGTTCGACGAGAGCGGCAACAGATGCCGTGTGAAAGGTTCAATGGCCGATGTGCACAAGCCATTGATTTCAGCGTCCAAGTGCTTAGGCTTTGGAAGGATTGCAGTTCTTGATGTGAATGGCGGAAACTTGATTCCGCAAGGGTCCAAAGTTGGAAAGGCTGTTCAGGTGATCCTGGAGAAAGCGAACGCTGCAGAGCAGCGGAGTTGGATCCCTGTATATCAGGAACAGGGAGTATACAACTTCTACTTGAGGAAGCCAGGGTATAAACCGACAAAGGAATGCTGTGGCATCGCAGAGTTGAACGCCACAGGAGAAAGAGGAGATGCCTCTATGGATTCAGGCCGACCTGGTCCAGAGGGGCGAGAAGAGGATGATGAGTTGGAATTAGTTGATGAGGTTGAGAAACCCATCCAGATAAGAGCACCGGAGGACCCAACTCCGGCTGAGATTGAGGAGCACGAGGCGACAGGCCATGTGCAGTATCGAAGTTGGTGCCGGCATTGCATTGCTGGACGGGCTGTGGGACAGCCACATCGGACGAGATCCGAGGAACAGAAGGCAAAGAGCCTTATGCCCACAGTGGCAATGGACTATACGTTCATGTCACGGGGCGGTGTGGAGGACGAGCGAGTGAAGCCGATCCTCGTTGTGAAGGATGAGAGGACACAGTCCTTAGCGGCGACCTTCGTGGACTCGAAGGGAGCGACGCCGTATGCAGTGAAGTTCGTGGCGAACTTCTTGAAGAACTTGGGACACCGTAAGGTGGTTCTCAAGTCGGATGGTGAGCCACGAGCCTTGAAAGAGGCAGCAGCGAAAGAAACCGGCATAGACTGGGTTTCGGAAGAGTCGCCAGTAGGAGACCGTCAAGCGAATGGCCTGGCAGAGAACGCCTGCAAGGAGGTCAAACGTCAAGTACGAGTCCTCCGCAGCGCGTTGGAAGAGAAGCTCGGCAAAGAGCTTAAAGATGATGATCCTGCATTGGCATGGCTGCCAAGACAGGCGGGAGACCTGTTGAGCAGGTATAAGAAAGGTCAAGATGGCAGAACGCCTGAGGCCAGAAGATGTGGAAAGCAATGGCGAAAACCTGCCATAGCTTTTGGTGAACGCCTATACTTTAGAGAAGTAGGCGAGGGAGTTCGCATCCTGAAAGAAGGACGCTATGTAGGGCACCACGGCCGAACAGGATCCATTTTGGTGATGACGGCCGATGGCGTGCGCAGAGGCACAGGAATCCGGCGGCTGAGTTCAGCCGACCGCTGGGACCCAAGTGATTGGGACCTTTTGCGGGGCTTACCGTGGGAGCACTCCGCGGCAAGGCCTGCCGGTGAGCAGTTGATGCTCGAAGAGCGTCTTGTGGTACCACCTCCCAAGGAGGAACGAGTGGCACCACCACAGCAGAGGCGAGTGTACATCAGGAGAGAGGATGTGCACAAGCATGGAGCCACAGAAGGCTGCCCAGGATGCAGGTGCATCTTGGAAGACAAGAGGACGACCTTGCCGCGCACAGAGGCGTGCAGAGCAAGGATCACCGAAGCGATGGAAAAGGATGAAGCTGGGCAAGCGAGACTTGAAGCCCATGCAAAGAAGAGGAAAGAACGGCAACAGCTTGACACTGTGAAGCCGAAAGTCGTGGCCGACAAGGACACCGACATCACGGCCGAAGACGCGGCCGGAGAACCAGAGAAGAAAGAAGAAGCAAAGAGCGCAGGATCGGGAAGCCCGCCGCCAACAGCGGCAGAGGGTGAGAAGACCTATCCCGATGACCCGAAAGAGAGATATGAGATGAAGAGGCAAGCAGCCGAGATAGAGAAGAAACCAGTGGCGAAAGCCAAGGTAGCAACGGAGCCCAAGAAGAGAACAGGGGAACTTAGAATAGATCCACCCGGGGCAAAGGTCAAGCCGAATCCAGCCCAAGGAACAAAGAGGACGGCAGAGACTGCTGTAGAAGACCTTGATCCCAGAGTGGAAGAGAGTCCAAAGAAAACGTCTCAGTTTTCCCATGTTCCAGAAACACCACCAGCAGGGTGGAAGCCAGATGCAGCAAGCTTGGTAAAAGAGAAGGAGATCGCAAAGCAGCATCTGAAGAAGATCATTCAAGGAACCTATGAGGCGAATGGCATTGAGATCACTGAGCAAGAGATCGGAGACATCGCGCATTTGAGTATGCAGATGTCAGCAGTAGATGTCATGGAAATCTACTCGCCCAAGAGGTTCACCGCGCTTGCAGAGCGGTACAAGTTGCGACCGGGTTTCGCGGTCGACTTGAATGAATTGAAAAGTGATGGGACATACTGGGACTTGAACAAGTCCGAAGATGTCCAAGAGGTGCACAACATCCTAGAGAGAGACGAACCGGCTCTCTTGACCGGATCGCCTCCGTGCCATATGTTCTCGCAGCTCCAGAATCTAAACTGGAGAAACATGGCACCGGATGTCAGGAGGAGGAAAATGGACGAAGCCGTCCATCACCTTCATACGAGCGTAGAGCTGTATGCCAAGCAGCATCGCTCGGGGCGAAAATTCCTCCATGAGGCACCATGGGCCGCAACCAGCTGGAAGGATGAGAAGGTTGAGGCCTTAGCAAAAGAAGATGGTGTGTTTGTGGTGAAAGGTCCAATGTGCAGGTGGCAGATGATGGCCACCGACCGAAGAGGACTCCAAGGCACCGGCTATGTGAGAAAGGAGACCGGTTGGATGACCAACGATGAAGGGTTGGCCCGAGTCTTGCAAGGAGTCTGCTCGAATGAATCGGGCAAAGGACCATGGCACCGACACATCCATCTGATTGGAGGCATTGCTAGGCAGGCAGCGGTATACCCACCGCAGCTTGTGAAAGCAGTGCTGAGGAGCCTGCGTGACACACTAGCAGAGAAAGGTGAGTTGAACACCTTCGATCTGTTCGCAGCAGGCCCAGTTTGAGAGATGCCTCTGATGAACCCAGAGTTCGAAGAGGTCTACATGGATGATGTGAACGGCGGCATTTTGCCAGCCGAAAAAGTGAAGGAGGCAAGACGCCTTGAGATGGACTACTTGAAAGAGAAGCATGGCGTTTATGTGCCCCGGCCGAGAGCCGAATGTTTTGAGGAAACGGGGAAGCCCCCGATTCCAGTCAGATGGTTGGACACCAACAAGGGAGATCCAACAAATCCGAACTATAGGAGCCGATTAGTTGTGCGTGAGATAAAGGCAAGAAAGACCAAAGACGAACAATTGCCAGCCAACTTGCTTTTCAGCAGCACGCCCCCATTGGAGGCGATGAGACTGCTGTGCTCGTTGTGGGCAACAAAGAGAAAGTCCTGCCGCAACCAGCCGCTGAAGCTGGGCTTGTGGGACATCTCACGAGTGCACTTTTATGGAACTCCAAAGAGAAAGATCTACATAGAGCTGCCGCCTGAGGACGAGGCCAGCAAAGATGGACAAACCTGTGGACTTCTCGTGAAGTCGATGTATGGGACACAGGACGCTCCAAATATCTGGCAGACGCACTACACAGAGACTCTGCAGAAGGCTGGTTTCCGCAGAGGCTTGTCAAATGCGTCAGTCTTCTACCAAGAAGCTTGGGACGTCAGAGTGATGGTGCATGGAGATGACTTCCTAGCACTTGGAGACGCCCAACACTTGGAGAAGCTCAGCCAAGTCCTCAAAGATCCCTATGAGCTGAAATGTCTCGGAATTCTTGGAGACGAGGATGGAGACCGAACAGAAGCCCATTTCCTGAATCGGTTGATCCGAGTCGAAAAGAAGAACGGCAAAGGATCGATTGTGATCGAAGCCGATCGGAGACTTGTTGATCTTTTGATCCAGGCATTTGGCCTGGAAAAGGCAAATGGTGTAGAATCACCAGATGTCAAGAAGTCGGCAGATCAGCAGATGCTGGAAAGCCGCAGTCCGCTGCTTGATAAGAGCGAGGCATCGAAGTATCGTTCAGCTACGATGCGTGCTGCGTATCTGTCCCAAGATCGACTCGATATTGGACACGCAGTCAAGAACCTTGCTCGGGGTATGGTGTCGCCGACAGAAGCCAAACTTGCAGACTTGAAGCGTCTCATCAGGTACTTGAAGAAATATCCTGATGTTGGGCAATGTTTTGGCTCACAGCAGGCACCCTCAAGGCTGAGGGTCCAGGTCGACGCCGACCACGGTGGAGATGCTGTGACACGCAAGAGCACGACTGGCATGGTTGCCATTTATGGCACACACGTGCTGAAACACAGCAGCAACATCCAATCCACCATAGCCCTTTCGACAGGCGAAAGCGAATACTACGCACTCGTGAAGGGCGGATCTGTAGGCTTAGGACTCCAAAGCCTATGCGCAGATCTTGGTTTGGATTTGGAAGTCACCATAGAAGGCGATTCCAACGCAGCCAAAGGAACTGTGAACCGAGTGGGTTTGGGTAAAGCCAGACACATCCAGACCCGCTACCTATGGTTGCAAGAAAGGGTCGCCGAAGGCCACTTGAAAGTGCACCACGTTCCAGGTGTCAAGAACAAAGCCGATGTGTTGACCAAATCGGTTCCTGGGGTGCAACTTCGCAAAACCATGGAGGACCTGCAATATGCATTTCTCAGCAAGCGAAGCAAAGGACAGTTAGATGTTTTGGAGTAAGGTCCCTGGCCAAGCTCCACTACCACAACTGAAAGTGGCTAAGCAGCGAAGAGTTTCACGTGTTTCCTTTAAGCTTGCGCAGCAGTACAGTGCTTTGCAAGAGGAGGAGTGTTTGTATGTACAGCCCATATATACTCCGCTAGGGTACTGCAGACACGTGACTCTTGACGTGTTTTGGCTCAAGGTGAAAAGGCGTTCCGAAACGTCGAAACCACGTTTTCACGAGATCAAAGTGCACAGGTTCTCAGGTCGCTCCGGCGAGCAGATTCCGCAGCTGAGCACGACAGAGTTGAATGAATTCCGCAGCTGACCATTGGCCAGTTGTTCATCCATGATAGTTCCACCCAACAAAACAATTTGGAACCAGGAATACGCATACATTTTTCTTGGTATGGCCTTTTACTTTGGTTGTTTTGAGGAAATAGCTCAATACACATTTCTACACCTACCCAGGTGTATAGGTATATATACATGACAAGAAAGCTCACAGGTTATCGGTGGTCGTGGCTCTCTTCTTTGCACCGGTTCATTCTCTCAGGTGGGCGATGGCAACCAAGCGCCCTTCAGAGGCGATACCGGGAACAAGTTCGGGTGCCCAGTCGAGTCGAGAGTCGAGCGCCAGCTCGACTGAGCTGGCAAAAATGACTCGGGGTGAAACGGGGAGCGGACGTAATGGAGAGATGGAGAGTGTGGATAACCATGAACATTTGATAATTTTTTTCAACATGCATGACTGGCAGTGTTCTTGCATTTATGTTGTGCAGGTGGGGACCAGCCATGTTGTCCACGGTGTCGTAGTGCAGAACGGTTTGGATTGGGTTTGAATCGATTGCGCCAGTGATGGTTTGACCCCTTCGACTGCAGGATCTACGCACGGATTCGCTTCGGCACCACCTTCTACGGCTTCGGAAACCTTGCGAGGGGCTGAGAGAGAGCTCAGCTGAGAAGAGAGCTCAGCTGAGATGGGGATTGACCATTCAAATTGTTGTTTGGGAAGTGGGAGACAATGCTGCTCTAATAACTATATCAAATTGAAGTTCTGGGATCTTCTGGTGGCTCCGCGTTACTTTGCGGAGGACTGAACTGGTGGGACCTTGATCAGGGTTTTTAGTTTGACCCACACCAAGTTACTCGTGTTGGTTTTGAAATCTAACATTTACATGTGACCTAATTATATGTCATTGACCATGTGCCGCTTCTCCGGGGACGAACCACGCACTCCTTCCTTGCTGCCTCCACCTACCTTTTTTTGTGTGAAGTGTTGCTGGTCTTTATCTCTCAACGGTCATGATGTACGCCGGAATCTGAGCCTTCCTGACCCTTCCTGACTAGTCGATCCCGCTATCCACATGTTTCATCACGGTTTCCCAACCAAGCTCTCAAGAGTTGCTTGGCTGGAAGAGAAGCTCATGTCAAGTCTCAGACTCGCAAAGTGCACAGGTGCAGCTGAACTTCAAGTTACCGCTAGGCCTTTTGATGAGTGCGGCAGCTGCATTTCAGGGAGATTCAACCTTACAACCCATAACATGTCATAACATCTTTCTACGTAGAGCTTGCCAAGTCCGTTCTTCTGTGAGAGTGGAGACGATTGTATCTTGGATGTTTGTGGTTTTAGATATTGCTAACATTGCAAGGAGAGGCAGGAAGAGCTGGGAAGCCGGTTGTTTGCTGAGTAGATAGTCTGTGGGGACACGAGCGCACATACATTCCAGATATTTCCAGATCCATACTTGAGGATGGATGATATACACGTGACATCGACATATGACATATCACACTGATCTGGCAGAGACTCCGACTATATGACTCAAAGTCCTCAGAACAACCCTTGCTGCGCCAGGCTACGCCTGCGTGTCGGCCAACCAGGGCGGCTCTGTGCGGTCGCCCGAACAGCGGAGGGCGAGCACCTGTCGAGTCGTGGATGGCTGCACGCGGAATCTTCAAATGACGTGTTGATCTGTATATGATTTCTTTGAGTTAATATGTTTTTGTATATAAATTTGTATCGGAAAAAAAACAAAAACAAACAAATGTGATCGTTCAATTTATATATGTTTCATTCATTTCATTCAAGTGTTTTTCTCTTGAGTTGCAGGCGGTGGTCAATCAACACGTTCTCATGCTGAAATGACTGTTTCTGAGTTCGCTATCTATTTTGACTTCACAGCAAATTGACTTCCAAACCTTCTAACTGGAAGACCACTGAGACTATCCCACACTGGTCCCACACCCTCCTGACGCTTTGGACATCCTCAATGTTCTGCTGAGTTACATGCTGTGTAAATGGACCCCTGAAATTCTCAAATCCTGGCCCAAGGATCCCAGAACCATTTGCATCATTTCATAGACTTTCCTTCGAAGCACCTAGCGGACAGCTCAAAACATATGTGAGCTTCTGAGTGAGCCGATTACACCCTGACCCCAGTTAGGTTGAGAGTCTCAAATGAATGCCAGACATCCCAGCAAAATGGATACCAATGGTCTTCGAATCTCCCCAACCGGACGAAGACAAAGAACGGTTTCCTGCGACCCTCGACCTGCACCTAGTCTCGTCAGCCCCACTCAGGTGCCAGATCTGTCCATTTTGGCGAACCGCTTCCCTTCGACCAAGGGGCGCTTGGTTGGGGGTGCTCGGGAGTGCTTTGTTGCCTGTTCAACAGGTGGACAGTTTTGTATTTTTTCGCCAGAGCGGGGTTGTTCGGAAGCTTGACCAACTCAAGTCTCTAAATTTACAAGCTCACTCTTTCTCGGGATGACCTCATTTGAGTGAGACTAGAGGAAAGCACAACGCAGTCCATCAGCTCTTGTGTCAGACATGTCTTCCTTGAGGCCTCCCCCCTCTTGAGAGATGTCAAGACCATCCCTGTCCAATTTTGCGTGTTATTTTTATCATCCCACAATGTGACTGTAGTCTCTACATCAGTTTGCGGCTATGGTTTGAGGGTGTTTTATTATGTTTTCATATTTATCAATTTATCCTTATAAAATCTTGTAAATACAAAGTAGCCAACTTAGGATTAATTCCCCAATAGCCATGCTATGGGGTCTTGCAAAACTAATAGGCGGACGGGCGCCGTCGGGTCACCGTCAGAGCTGGTGGGCGGATGGTGTCCCGGTCATGTTTTGATGGCGTCCGGGTCATGTGATGCTGGTGTCCCGGTCATGTTGTGATGGTGTCCCGGTCCTGTTTTGATGGTGTCCCGGTCATGTTTTGATGGTGTCCCGGTCATGTTGTGATGGTGTCCCGGTCATGTTTTGATGGTGTCCCGGTCATGTTTTGAAGGTGTCCCGGTCATGTTGTGATGGTGTCCCGGTCAAGTTTTGAAGGTGTCCCGGGCATGTTGTGATGGTGTCCCGGTCGTGTTGTGACGGTGTCCCGGTCATGTTTTGATGGTGTCCCGATCATGTGATGGTGGCGCGGTCCCGGTCATGTTTTGATGGTGTCCCGATCATGTGATGGTGGCGCGGTCCCGGTCATGTTTTGATGGTGTAGTGATGGTGTCCCGGTCATGTTTTGATGGCGTCCGGGTCATGTGATGCTGGTGTCCCGGTCATGTTTTGATGGTGTCCCGATCATGTTTTGATTGTGACCCAGTCATGTTGTGATGGTGTCCCGGTCCTGTTTTGATGGTGTCCCGGTCATGTTTTGATGGTGTCCCGGTCATGTTGTGATGGTGTCCCGGTCATGTTTTGATGGTGCTCCGGTCGTGTTGTGACGGTGTCCCGGTCATGTTTTGATGGTGTCCCGGTCCTGTTGTGATGGTGTCTTGGTCGTGTGCCGGTTATTTTTTGATGGTGTCCGGGTCATGTGACGGTGTCCCGGTCATGTTGTGATGGTGTCCTGGTCATCTTGTGATGGTGTCCCGGTTATGTTGTGATTGTGTCCCAGTCCTGTTGTGACGGTGTCTCGCTCATGTTGTGATGGTGTCTCGCTCATGTTGTGACGGTGTCCCGGTCATGTTTTGATGGTGTCCCGGTCACCTTGTGATGGTGTCCCGGTTATGTTGTGATGGTGTCCCAATCGTGTTGTGACGGTGTCTCGGTCATGTTTTGATGGTGCCCTGGTCATTTTGTGATGGTGTCCCGGTTATGTGATGATGGTGTCCAAGGAAGAGATGGTCGATGTGTTGAAAACAGCAGCTGTTTCCAGATTGTTTGTCCCGGTTTGTATCTTGCTATTGGGGTCTCCAGCTGGGCTAATTAGGTCTACAGGTAGACAACTATATAGTTTGCTATATATAAATGTTGCTAATTACTGTACATTTAATGGATACAACTGCCACTGCCCAATGTGTTCTCGGTGGAAGTCGGTGGAAGCCATCCCTTTCACGAGTCCAGTCAGTCGTGTGAAGGCTGTTCACTGGGTGTCGGTCTCCGCAGTTTGCAGCGAATCTTTTCAGCAGTTTTTGTGAAACATCTTTAGTTTTTGGATGGCCAAACCCACTGACTCATATTGTTCGAGCGAAGTCACCCACAATGCCGGCCGGGCGAAGTCCTGCAAGTGCTGGCCGACTGAGGGTGGCAAGGTTCCTGAAGTCCGGTACCGGCCAGTGGCCCGAAACCCAAGATGTTTGTCCGCGACACATGCGATTGTCGCGACTGATACGACTGGTCCGCCAGAGCATTCCGGGACACTCGTGCGGACTTGAAACCCAAAAAGAATTGATTGCTGCCATGTTGAAACACATGAGGGGTGATGTAGGGTATTCAGCAGAGAACTACATTGGTCACACCATCATAAAACATCAGTGCGGTGACCTAGTCTGAACAGTTGAGGGATGGGGATTCCATGTTCTTGTGCAACCAATCTAACGGCAACCAATCTAAGACATTCAGAAAGTTTGCCCAGAGTCTCACCCAGACACTCCATGGGACTGGAATCCATACCGACATTGACCAATAAAACCTCCCTAACTGAGCGGTGAGTATGCCAGTCCCATGGAGTATTTGGGTCCGGAAGGAGGGAACCGAGAGGAGGAAACAATAGACCCATGCATTCTGAACGAACCGAGTGACGCATAAACCCATGCGCTGTCGGATTTGTGTCACGGTGTTCGAAGGCGACGCCAGACGTGTTGTGTCAGATCACCTTGCTGGAGGACCGGCATCGGACTGCTTGGTGGGAAGAATTGGTGTATAGATGTGTATAGAAAGGCCCTGTACTCTCCCACTCTAACATCGAAGGGAAATCCTCCTCTTCATACAGCAGAATGCTCTTTCAGAGGCCTGCTTTCCCACTTCCATGTTGGTGAGTCAGATTTAAGCGTCCCTAAGCCCTCAAACACCAGAGGATGGAAGGGTGAAGTCAAAGGAGTCCCCTTTGCATTCCTACCGACAGACGAGGCCCAACAAAACCATGTTTAGACTCAGACGTAAAATGACGTAAAACATGGAAGATGCTCTTCCTTTACCAGGGCTGGTCTGAAACTGGTTGTTGTGTTAGGGGTTCCATACACATTCAGTCGGACCCATCCTGAAAAGCTCATTGACGGGTGTTTTTGCATGATCATCTCCTGTAAAATTGAGGTCGTTGACCTGTAGAGTTGCATTAGTTCATCCATTTGATGACGGACAGACAGCGTCACGTCACTCACCCCTAATAACATTGCCCAGACCCCCTGTTACATGGAGGGTCAATTGGCTACACTGTAATTTACTTCAGTCCGACGACATGCAGTGCTTTGGACAGAATAGTTGGATCAGCCGGTTGCTTTCATTTGTGCGTTCAAGACCAGATGTTCTGATTTGGACTTTCAAAAACCAGAGTAAAACCCCAAAGACCAACGGACTCACACAAAAAGACAATACACGTGGCAAGTTGGATAGTGATGTTTATGTGTTCCAACATGTGCTGCTCCAACGCGTCAGAACATGATCATTTATGCCCGCACAGTCGGGGTCCCAGCTGGTTTGGACATCAATGGTTCCATCCGTGTGGGCTGGGCGTGGTGCTCCTTGATGCCTTTGAAATGGCTTCGTTGTTGATCCCATACCTAAGCACCCTCCCGTCAATGAACATAAACAGACAATATAGAACCTGCCCCAGTCTATAGAAGGAGGCTAGTGATATGCAGAACATCATTCCATTCTATTCTGGTCAGAAGCGTTTTGAATGTTCTACTGTATATTATCTCTTTGAGTTGGTGTAAAGAGTTCTTGAGAAAAGCAGTGCTCCATAAACGATGTGGAGCTGCACCGAAGCCTTGGGCATTAATATCCAGGTTTAGGAGGATCTTCGGCAAAGCACTTTGTTACCACGTGGGAAGCTTCTTGTTAACCGTTTCTTTGTTTTTTTGTGAGGATCACATGGGATCAGCATGGAGTGATGGTTTCTAGCAGCTGTCGTGCAGCTGTGCTGAGCTGCGCTGCGCTGACTGAGATCTATTACGTGGAACTGGAAGTGAACAACCCGACCACTGCCTTGAAGAAGGATGCCAGGATCCCAGAACTTTGGACAGGATCCTCCGATCAGAACCGATGGAGATGGTGCTTGGAGAGGGTGGGATTTGTTGCTTGGAGATTGGTACATTGGTGGGTTCTTGCTTGGTTGGTGAATTAGTGAGTTTGGTGTTTGGCTAGCCTATAGATCTTGCTGGTTGCGTCGTTGCGTGCACCATGTCCCTTTTGTTAGGGTGTCTCAAGTTCAACAGATGAAGGAGTAGCGTTCAACTAGTTTCTGGGCACCAGTTCAATACCATTTCCTTCGAGCTTGGAGATGGAGCCAGTGTGGGAGGTCGTTTCTACAGCTGTGGGAGGCGTCATGGGGTTTCAGGGCCCGGTGGTGAGGGTCGGGTATGGAGTTTCCAGCGCTCTTCAGCCTTCAGGATCAGAATCCACAGAGTGGACGATGATGGATTGGTCTTTTTTTTGGAGCCGTGACCTGTTCACTACTCTTGTGAGCGGGATAAGACGGATGGATTCCAATGGATGGCCGCTTGAAAACCCTTGACAAACCCCAAGTGAAAAGCATGTCTCCAGGGTTGATCTAAACGATTAGACCTCCCGAAGCCCGTGTCGCTGGCGCCGTCCGGGTTCGTCGTCCGGGTTCGTCGTCATGAGGATGTGCTCAATACCTGGAGCTTGACGGTGGTCCACAATGGCTACACCCCATCGCAAATCATGGGCAGTGGATCCGGCGAGGCAGTGGATCCGGAGAGGGGGGAGAACGAGATGGAAAGGGGCAGGAGCCTCACTAAGGAATGGAGGAGGGGGGGGTTCTGTGCCTTCAGAGATCAGACTGGGCGCTGACCTTTGGAAGTGGACAGATCAGTATTCGGTGATCAGAAAAAATGGTGCCCAGCTTCAGTGCCCCAAGAACACCTGAGTTCTCATTGAGTCTAAGCTCATTGGTTGTGTCATCGATCTCCTCGGTATCCTTGGACCAGCGGACCGGCAGCGATGTTTCACCGCCTTCGTTGGGTGTCAGTCATCCATCTGTGTCTCAAACGAAAAAGAGCTATGAAAGTATGCAAAGACCGGTCAAAGCTTCCGAGCAAAGTGAAGAGTGAATCAAGGGGACCTGAAACGACCATGCAATTCACGACATTAATTTTAATTGTTTGTCCTTTGGTTGCATTTGGCCGACTTATTTGTCCCATCCATGAGTCGCACGTAGTCAATCTATGAATACACCTCTAGATCCTTTCCCCAGCCTTTTGTTGTTGCAGCACCTCCACTGTCGCTTCTCCCTTGGCAGGACTTCAACCTTTCCACCAAGGAGCTCACCTTCTGCCCTGCGCCTCGCGACAAGCTTTTTTGCTTGTGGGAGGCCCCAGTGCTGCATTGCGGTGTGGAGCTTGGGGGTCGGAGTGACCGGAGGGCGGGGTAATCACACAGAGGGAGCTTCTTGTCATAGCTGTGAATTGCAACATCCCTGAAATCAAATGCTTGGCACGTCAGTTTAAGTACTGGGAGGTTTCATCCAGATGCGGTGTTTGGGGGCACCAACATTTGCTGAATCTCCTGACATCCCCTGAACAATGCCCTGTAGACTGTGCTGTCCGCCTAGGAAAACTATACCCTCTCAAGAAAGACTGACCAAACTCAAGAAACCCATTGAACACCTCTCCATCATTATCCATCAATATCATCAATTGTGTTTGATCGATGTTGCTTGTTTTTGTTCATGCATGGTCACATAGCAAGGTGCTTGTATATGTTGCAGTCTCCCATGTTTGCAGAACATTTCTCAGCAAAGTGACTATGCTTGGCCGAATGTCAGTGGCAAAGAGAACCAGACCAATTTCGTAGTGGACTCATGTTTAACCTTCCAAAAGGCCGGTGGTTGTGCGGGACTTCTGATGTTGGCATTCTGGAGGGATGTTTGCCCTGCATGTTTCTTATCTCCACGACCTGACCTACAAACTAGATCAAACTGGAACAACATAACCTGACAAAATCGAATGGGTCCGGATGACGCAAAGGTCCTCAGAAACCACTTGTCATAGACCAACCGGTTGACCGTTACTCCTCTCCCCCCATCCGAATTTCACGCATCGGAACTTGCTGAAGCGCGACACCTCTTCGCCAAGGTCAAGCTTCGGCACGGGCTACGCAGATGCCCTGCC